TCTCTCTCTCTCTCTCTCCAAGAACCCGACAAAAACGGAGGACGAGAAAAAGAAGAAGAAGAAGAAGAAGAAGAAGAAGAAGAAGAAGAAGAAGAAGAAGAAGAAGAAGAGGAGGAGAAGGAGGAGGAGGAGGAGAAAAGATGAAGAAGAAGACAAATAGGACGAGAAAAGATGAAGAATAAGACGAGGAGGACTCCAAGGAGAAAAAGCTGAAGATAAAGAAGAAGAAGAAGAAGAAGAAGAAGAAGAAGAAGAAGAAGAAGAAGAAGAAGAAGAAGAAGAGGAGGAGAAGAAACGGCGCAGCAAAAGGTTTGTGGTCGCGGTCTCTCTCCCTCACTCTCTCTCTCTCTTTCTCTCTCCCTCCGAGAACCAAGATGATCAAAGAAGAAGAAGAAGAAGAAGAAGAAGAAGAAGAAAGAAGAAGAAGAAGAAGAAAGAAGAAGAAAGAACAAGAACAAGAAAGAAGAAGAAGAAGAAGAAGAAGAAAAAAGAAGAAAGAACAAGAACAAGAAAGAAGAAGAAGAAGAAGAACGTAGAAAAAAAAAAACTACCTACGGTCGGTGCGCTCACCTCTGAGGTTGACAGCCATGGGGGCTCGGGGCTTTCTCGCAGGCGGGCATGGCGATGGCGCGTGGACTCGTCGGCGGTAGCGGGCTGGGCATCGTCGATGGCGAGCAGCAGGACGTCGACATGCCGCGGGAATGCGCGCGACGTCAACGCTGCATGCTATTGAAAAGCGGGGCAGATCGGGTTTGCGTAGAGGCGCGTTGGGGACCGGGGGAACTCGGATTGCCCCTGTTTTCGAATTTTGGAACGCGGCCGATTACGGCCGCCGATCTGCCAGATCTACGGCCGAAATCGGCCGCGTTTGAAATTCGAAAATCGGGCCCTGCGGACCGGACCCCGCGTTTTCGACGAAACGCGGCAGCCGATCCCCGCCGTCGATCTTCACAGATCGACGTCGGGGATCGGCCGCCGCGTTTCATCGAAAACGCGGGGTCCGAAGGCCCCAATTTTTTTTTCGCATAGTAGCGGCGGCCTCTCAGAGGCCGGGCAGGCGGCAGGGAACCGGAAAACCCCCGGTACATGGCCCCCAGCAAAATGCGCTGGGGTCGACCGGGTGCCTGCCGGGCCAGTCGACCGCCCGGTCCAACCGGCAGGGACCCGGTCGTCGGAGGGCCCCCCGGTCCATCCAGGGACCAGCCCTGATATATATATATGTATTTATTTGGTAAAGATTTTGGATGTGACCCTGAGGCAAAAGCTGCGAAAGTTTCTTGTGAGACTCTTGTTTCCAATTCCTGTTTTTACTTTTTGTTTGTACTTTTTGTTTATCAGCTGCTGTTTGCTGGTAAGTAGTTAGACATGCTGTTTGGACCACAATAGGATTGTATTAACTTAGCTTTAGGAAACCTGTTGGAGCAATTTCTGGTTTTCGTTCTCATAATTGTTTTCATAGCAGCTCATATTGGTAGCAGAGGCGCTAAGTGTAAAATGTGAAATTTTCGTAGAATTTTTTAGGCGTCCTCTGGGCATGGTAGCTTTGGTGAGTGGGAAGAGACACCTATTACAGTGGACACCCCTTTTGAGCCTGGCCGGTGATGCTGTGCTCAGCGCCATCGCATCTGCCAGAACTTTCTGAAGCAGGAGCTAGCCCAGTAGGTTTACGTCCTATATAGCATGATGCAGATCCGGGGATCGACACTCTACAGCCACTACTCTAGCTCCTTTTTGGTAAGGAGATAAGTCCAGCCATCATATATCATCATAACGATTCAGGTTCGCATCCCGCAGTTGCCTGAAAAGTGAATGATGATGGGCTGGATCCCACACAATATTTTTTGTCCAACCTAATATGGATGCCTTTCAATCGCCCCGGTCAAATGGCCAGGGCCCTATACTAATTTCTTCCCTGCACCTGCACACACTAACCCTTAGATTGACATGAATGCGGTCGGCTTGCCCACCTGCACAGCTTCAATATAGCCGACTCCTTCCACCTCTATGGTCCACAGGTTTTCAATAGTTTCTTAAACTTTTTTGCTCGTTGTGCCGAGGCATGCTAACTGAATGTTTTCTATTTTGCTCGGGCATTTCGCCAACATTGCGTTCGGCGTGGTGTTTATCTCTGTTAAATTAACAAATTATGAAATACCAATACATGAACTAAGTTCAACAAACACCCTTATCGACTCCTGGACTGGACACATGGCGACTCCCTATGTATCGACTTCTAGGTCCCTCTACTGTTCCTACCGGTCTTATCCTATCAGATCTCTATTTTAATCTGTACAGTACGCACCGGAAATGTTTACTTCGGCCCTGAGGTACAAAAGGAAATCGGACACGGTACCCGGGCGGCAGCGCACAAATCCTTTCACATGCTACCGCACACCTAGAAGGAATGTTGTTTGACAGAAGGCATTCCTTTGCCATTGGGTCATAAAGTATTGAGAAAGTAAAGTAGTCCTAAACCATGCCTTAGAGTGATATTTAGTATTTACCCGACTGCAAGCATAAACAGCACTCTCAGGCCTGAATCGCCTGATGTAATACTCCTTTGTGTGTATTTTACTATTTTCTGAACGCAAGGTCCCTCCGCTTTGTGTGGCTCAAGTCCTTGCTCTGTACAACTGTTTAGTATTTTACTATTTTTACTATGTAGTGAAACGGTATTCACCCGTTCGCAGTAGCGGATGCAGATCCCAGGGCTCGATCCCTAGTCCTCACCTTACCTGTGTACAGTATCTGTGTCGACCCCGAGAGTTGAACCTCTGACCTGTGTATTCGCAGCAGTTGGTAGGCTGTTGTAGGTCTGTAGGTTGTAGGGGTTCGAGCTGTAGACCTGTTGGTTGTAGGTTTAGCAGGTCCTAGGAGTCGTAGCTGTAGCTCCTCCGAAGGGTCAAAGTCGTAGCTGCTAACGTCCTGAAAGTTCAAGGTGGTAGCTGCTACAGTACCGAAAGGCCAAGTCTACGGACTTCCGGAAGGTCCGGAAGTGGCCTTTCGGAGCTTGCTCATGTTTAGGCAGCGGCAAGTGGGCAAATGGTGAAGTCCACCCTTGCTGAGTCAGCGGTACCAGTCCCAGTCAATCCCAGTCCAGTCAAGCAAGTACCGTATGGGACTGTGTGCACCACGGGCATGGGAAAGGGGCAGACCAACGAGCTACAGAAGTATAAATCAAGAGGCAGCGCCCAGCCATTCATTCATTCCTGTGTAAGCCATGCGGAAGCGCTGCCACAGCGACTTGTGCGAGGTGGTCTGCAGTGAGCCCGAAGACGAAGTGGGCGAGAAGGAGAGTTTAGCCATAGCGATAGGGGTAGCAGCGGACATAGCCGCCATAGCTGATAGGAAGGTGTAGCGTGTATGTGTGTGCGTGTGTGTACAGTGTGATGCGTGTGGGATATCCAGGGTGATCCGGTGTGTGTTTGAACAACAGAGTTGGGTTGGCGACGAACAGAGAGTTGTACAGGCGCTGTTGCGCCATAGCTGTTCGAAGTGAACTTGTATTTGAACTGCGTTCTTGGCAACCATATCTCTGAGTTCTGAGTGGGCGCTTGTCGCCAGTTTGTTGCGCAACCTGTTTACATTCATGTGAAGTGTGAAAGATAGCGAGTCTGATTGCAGTAGTATGTTCTTAGTAAAATTGTTCACTAAATGACAGTAATTTTAATTTTGTTGTCTGCTGGTGTTTCTTGTTTATGCGCCTTTGGTATCATCAGGATGGTGTCGTTATGCCCACTTCGCGTATCATGTTGCCATTCGGCGGAGAGGTATGTGTAATTTGTTTTCCAGGCTTGGGATCCTTACATCAGGATGTACCGCCCACAAGGCCATAATAATAAAGCAACTTTAAGCAAGTAAAAAAAAATTAATTAAAGAAAAAGGGATTGAAAAACTACGGTGGCGTGCTCCGTGCTTCAATATTTCCTTTATAGTTTTGTACTAAAGAAGAATGAGAAACATTAATGGTTTCAGTGTGCCCCTCATGTTGGTCTTGTTTTGTTTTGTTTTTTTTTTTTTTTTTTTTTTTTTTTTTTTTTTTTTTTTAAATACTTAAGAAGAATGAGAAACATTAATGGTTTCAGTGTGCCCCTCATGCTGGTCTTTTTTTTTTTTTTTAATTACCGTTTGTTTCGCAAAGTGCGCTCTTTTAGTTCATAGATGTGTGACGATATATACTGAACAAGAAGAAATAACTCACATTAAAGGCAAAAGAACAGTTTCAGTGTGCTTCATGTTGTCTTGCTTGTTTTGGTTTGTTCGTGTGTGCTCACCTGCAAAATTGCAGACTACCAAACCTGCTGTTTTCTGAGTATTGCTGCTTGCTAGACTGATATGCTAAGTTGTCCATGTTGTGCTATGATTTGCTGTGTTTTCGGAGTGTCGAAGACCTACCTACCACTACTGTGCCTGTGCTTTGTGCTTGCCTGAGTCCAAGTCTGTGTCCTTGTGCTAGCTATGTTTTCCCTCCTGTGTTTCTGTATCTCGAGCTGAGGTGGATGGTGAGGGGAATAGACCAGAAGCTCTAGACGTCCAGGGTTAGTTGTAGAATTTGATAGGGACCCAATAGGCCTTTTTCAGTAAGGGAGTGCCCAAGCAGCAGCCTCACGACGTGGCCCTTCAAGAATGAACCAAAGAGACCTCTCCTGTGCTCAAGGGAGGCCGAGCTACAGCGAAATTGAGCCAGGAGTCAGTGGTAGGAAAAAAGTATACCATTCCATGCCAGGAGCTGTAGAGGCCTCTTTGCCAGTCTTTGGTTCATTCTTTAAGAGCCAAGCCGTGGGGCTGCTTGGCCACTCACCAGCCTTGTGAGGCGCTGGGTGGAGGAAGAAGGTGGAGCTTGGCTTCCACCTCGGCTATGGTGGAGCTAGCCAAGGCGGAGGTGGAGGAAGGCATGGCTATGAAGGAGGAGGGAAGGAGGAGGGAAGGAGGTGGAGAAGAGTGAAGGAGGGAGCTTACCTTGGCTATGGTGGACTGCATCTTCATCTTCTTGGTTGGCGCTGCACCTGGAAGGGCCCAAGTGGGATTATGCTTTGAAGACAGACTCGTGGGGGTGACGTGTGGCATGGCAGCGCTGCACCTGGAAGGCCCCTAGTGGGGTTGTACTTTGAAGACAGACTCCGTGTGGCATGGCAGTCATAGTAGGAGAGGCATAGTAGCCTTGCATTGGCCTTAGAACATAGGATCTGCCATAGCCATTAGCTCGACCTAGAGGTAGGAGGAGGCACAGGATGGCTATGGTGGACTTCTTGAGTGGCCGACAGTAAGAAGGAGATCCGGACATTGATTCTGGTTCATTCATTCATCATCACTGTCATTATCTCGTCTATCCATATAAAGATTATCACCCGTGGGCTCTGACACTGAAAAAAACGGTTTAGGGTTTAGGGTTCCTTTGTGGTGACGTTGATTTTGCTCAAGGGTCAAATTGAAATCCCTTACCAAATAAAAAATACAAACCAAATTTACCAAAATGGCAAAATTACTAAATAGCAGTTTTAGACTTTTAGTCTGATTACGGATCCGGTCCGCCCGGTCGACCAGCGCCTGCCGGGGGGAGGTCCCGGGCGGCCTGGCCGGGCGGGCGGCCCGGTTGGGGGCCGGGTACCCCCAGCACACCTTGTCGGGGGGGGGGTTCAGACCCCGAATCGCCGTCAGCTGGGGTCCCCAGGGCCTACCGGGTCTGACCAGGCCTGAAAAAAGGCGAGTCGGGCCCGTGAGGCCAGCTTTTTTTTTTTGAAATTGTGACGGCCCTCCGGCCGTCGATCATCCATGATCGACGGCCAGAGGGCCGTTTGATGTTTGGAGGGAAAACGACGACCCGTTTGAACAGCTGACTGGCTGCCGCGGCCTGCATCGGCTGTCCAAACGGGGCCTTGGTATTCCCCCGCCGGCGCAGTTCGTGCTTCAGCTGCCCGTCGTCGTGGAGCCGCCCGTCGCCATCGCCTGGGAGTTTCCCTCCCCCATGGCCGTGGACTCGCCCGTTGCCCATCCCCAGCGTCTTGGAGTCGCCAGCGCCGTGGAGCCGCCCGTCGCCCGTCGCCGTGGAGCCACCCGTCTCCCTCTCATCATCATCATCATCATCTTCTTCTTCTTCTTCTTCTTCTTCTTCTTCTTCTTCTTCTTCTTCTTC